CCATGAGGACGACGACGTTCGCCCCGGGCCCTACTGCCCGGCAAGGGCCGGCGGCGGTGGCGTCGTCGAGGTTCGGGCCCCGCCCAACGGGACCGGTCAAGACAAACGCTGTCCCGCCTTGCTCCGGCGGCAACGCTACCCGCTCGGCAAGGGCTGGTTGGTTGGGCGTGGAAGCTGGTGGTATGGAGCTGTTTCAGAGGCCCCTGTGGGCGTCCTCCGAGAGCAGCAATCAGCAGCAGCGGAGTCCCGCGCTGGGAACCGCGGCCGCTCCACCGCTCGCCCGCAGCAGCGGTGGCATCGGTGCCTCCCCGACGCTGACCGGCTTGCACGCGTCCCCTCCGCTGGCGCCGATCGGAAGCAACCGTCACCGACGGCAGTCTTCAGACGGGTCAGGTTCTTCGTTATCTCGCGATGTCGATGCTCCTGGCGGGGGCAGCCGACGATCCCCACCGGGGCTTCCGCCCCCTCCCGCGCAGCAGCGGCAGCAGCAGCAGCAGCAGCAGCAGCAGCCCATGGGCTCATTGCTCGGCGCGCTAGGAGCGGCGGCAGCGGCGCCGCCCTCGGTGGGGCGTGATCCGGACCTGGACAACCTCGAAACGTTCGCGACGGCTTCGGCGGTGGCCGCGGGCGTCTTGGACATCGCAGCCGGGGAGGGCGGCGGCCCAACGGTCCCGCTGGAGCGGTGCGACGAAAGGACTGACCCGGCCGCCTCCCTCGATGCGGGCACTGCGGCAGAGGACGACGCTCGGACTGGACGCTCTTTCTCGGTCCTCAGCATGTATTTTGGGCAGCAGCACCCCGCTTCCCCACCTGCTACTGCTGCTGCAAGTGCAGCCGCGAATGGCTCGCAGCACGGCCGGCAGCAAGGCCTGGCGTTTGGCGCTACCCGCTCGTCCGCAACCGGTGACTTTGACGAGGCCATCATCGGCGCACAGCAGGGCCGCTTTGGTTTCCACCACGGGGGGGGGGGAGGCCTAGCGCCTGCGAGGACCGTTGGTGGCGCTGGTCCCGCCGCGGCCGCTGCCGCCAGCGGAGGGAGCCGGCTTGGATTCTACATGTCGGCGGGTAGCGGAGGCGGCGGTGGCGGGAGCGCGGACGATGTTTTTGGCTTCATGAACGACGGCGATCAAAAGTAGCCAGGAGGGCCGTCAAGTTAGCAGGAGGGGGTGGGGAGGGGTGAACAGTAACCATTTGGAGCGCTTTGCCTTCTTATCTTTTAGGAAGAGATGTAAGCACCGCCACATCCGCCACTTTTAAGCGTTCGGCGTGCATGATGATCCGGTTGTGGTTTTCTGGAGCAGCGTGCTATTGGTGTCTTTGAAAACGGGGAATGAAATGAGGCATTGGTGCGCACATGAGGAGTCGGGTCGTGAGGCGTATGGGGGCATTCGGCCTTCCTCAGAAGCGCTGCCTAGACATGTGAAACGTTAAGAGTTGAGTTAGATGCTGTGTGTCTTGTTTTTTCACACTTGGGTTACACGTCTTTCGTACAGAGAAAAAGGCGTTCAGGGGCGCGCGGGGGGGGGGGGGGGGGAAGGGCGGGGTTGTTTCTTCAAAAAAAAAAGTTGGAAGAAAGGTGCGGTAGACTCAAATCCATAGAAGCAGAGTTGGCATCAAGTACATGAACGGCGAGATCGCACGCTGATCACGGCGTGGGTTCATCTCTCCTTCCCTGCTGTAGCACCCGGGGGGAGGGGGTTCCACTTTGGGCAACGAATTCCTTGAAAATGGTGGAGACCACACACTTTGGAGTCTTTGATGTGACGTTTGACAAACTGCGCTTCTTAGTCTGAAGTGATGGGGGGAGAGGGGGGAGGGGGGGGGTGCATGGATGGGTAGAAAATCACGTCACAACTGATTGGTGTTTGTTTAACTCCAAGAGTCGCTTTTTTTTTTGTTTAGTTGGCACACACACACATCATACCATGGTACTCTTTTGTCTTGCGTTTTTTTTGTGTGTTGTTTTTTCTCCGCCCGCCCTACAGTGCTCCTATAGCAGCGCCATCGTCCACCCCATGAAAGCGCAAACAAGATGGTGACGAGATCGAAACCGGGCGGCCCCGAAACGGCCTTGTACAATAGAAGACGACAGAACAACAGAGTTCGGTACTCGCTTCTTCTATTATCTACTGTATTCACGCGCAGAAACTGCTGTCTGTCTCCGTTCTCCCAATCATTCGATGGAAGCGTGTGCATGTATCTTTTGTTCCGACAGAGGCACTTGTCTAGATGGACGAGCAACCGACCGGGGGAAGGTTTCAAGAGGAGAGAGGTTGACCCTTTACCTTTTGCTCGGGTGGTGGTGATGATGGTCGCCTGTATAATGTTCCGTTGCGTCATTGTTGATACGGAGGGAGCGCCGGCCTGATTCCCCCCCCCCCCCC